AAAAAAAAAAAAAAAAGAAACATAAGTGCGTACTGCACAAACACTATATAGGTGTGGCTTCTACTCATCGTAGGTGCGGCTCCCCCACGGCGCACATATGAAATACAAAAGCATTTACACAGGAGTGTTCTTCTCCATTGTAGCTGAATTTTCGAAAAACCTGGTTGGCGGTTTTATGTACCTAAAGAGTGAAAAGGCGACCTACCTAAGTGTCACTACAATAAATGCTTTTTGCCACAGGGGGGGCGGAGCAAGAAGGCATTTTAAAATTGCACACGAAAAACGCACAGTGTCCAACGGGCTCTACAAATTTAGACTGTTGGGGGGAAGAAGAACACACTTTCACAGAGATAGAAAACTTGAGGAGAAATTCTTTGCCAGCAATTTCTTTGCTATGGGTAAAGACCAACCCTTTGTGGTAATGCGGAAGAGACACATGAGCGAGGCGGAGAGAAGGGGCCGTCTGTTTGCCCTGCCCTTTTGTTCGCCCATTTTTCTCCCCCATTTTTGCCATCCCCCCCTTTTAGATATTCATGCTGGGAGGGCCAGGCAGCGGAAAGGGAACGCAGTGCAAATTGATTCAAGACAAATTTGATTTTGTTCACATCAGCGCGGGTAGGATTATGTGCCTTAGTCACGGAACGTACCCAATTGTCCTTTTTGAATTTGGCCCAGCTAAATGTTTCCCCCCCATACACCTACCTTTTTTTTTTTTTTTTTTTCCCTTTTTTAAGGTGACTGCTTGAGGGAGTACCTAATAAAATGCGAGAAGGGCGAAGTGGACACGAAGCACCAAGCTGTCGTCGAGGATTGCATAAATAATGGTTCGAACGAAAAAAATACACACAAAAAAAGGGGGACAGGGCTCTCCATTTTGAGGGCTACTTATGCATGATACGTCGTCACACGTGATTGTAGGTTCCCATTTCTGCTCCCGCCTGGGTAGCAAAAGTATATCGGTACGCAGAGCCTGCACACGAGGCGAGTCCCTTCCCACTCAACCATACCGCTTCCCACCCATTGCGCAGGAAAAATAGTGCCCGTGCAAATAACCCTAGAACTGATGAAAATCAAAATGGAGAACGAAATTGAAAAGAGGAAAAAGCAGGAAAAGGAGCAGGAAATAAAAATAGGCGAACTGACAAAGCTGCAGAAACAAGAGGAAAAAAAAAGCTTCTCATTTGACATATTCGATGACAGCATTAAATTAAAAAACGACAACCTTGATTTGTATTACGACAAATTGAAATACGAAAATGGCATACACGAAAATAAACAAGTGCAGGAAATTTTGCAAAAAAATAAATTCGATCAAAAGGCAAAATACAAATTTATAATTGATGGGTTTCCAAGAAATTACGATAATTTTGATGGCTGGATGAACGTAATAGGAAATTATGCCTACGTGCACTTGTGCCTGTTCCTTTATTGTGACGAGGACACCATGATTAAGCGGTGCATGAACCGGGGCCTTATGTGTGGTAAGACGGAAAAGCCATAATACGGGGGGGACGTATCGCCTGTTCGTTTCTCGCCCCTATATTTTTTACCTTTCACTTTACACCTTCGCCCCCCCCCACAGGTAGAGTAGACGATAACATGGACACCCTGCGCAAGCGCTTCGAGACACACAAAAACGGCTGCATGCCAATCATCAATATTTTTTTAAATGAACACAAATGCATCTTTATCAACGCAAATAAAAACATCGAAGACGTTTGGAACGACGTACAGTACGTGTTCACAAATATGTAGTAGGCCGACTGCCCGAAGGAGTTGCTGTCAAA